GAGATCTGTCTGCCAGCAAGAGCCAACTGTTAAAGCTGAAGACTGAATGTGGCAGCATCGTTTCCGGGACACCTGAGATTTTGAGTGAGATTGAGAGGTTCTATGGGCAGCTGTACACATCATCAATGGAGCCACACGCAAGTATTAGTAACGATCCAAGAGTAAGTCTTATCCGACACTATTCCGATGATATCCCGGACGTCAGTCTGAGCGAGGTTAGAATGGCTCTCCAGCACCTTAAAAACAGCAGGGAACCAGGCGAGGATGGAATTACAGCGGAGCTTCTGAAAGCGGGTGGAACACCGATACTTGAAGTCCTTCAGAAGCTCTTCAATTCCGTCCTCCATGGTGGCACAACTCCGGAGGCGTGGAGCAGAAGTGTGGTGGTCTTGTTCTTTAAGAAAGGCGACAACGCTCTCTTAAAGAACTACAGACCGATTTCCCTTCTGAGCCGCGTCTACGTGCTGTTTTCGAGAGTCATTACGAATCGTCTCGCACGCAGTCTCGACGTCTTCCAGCCTCCCAAACAAGCCGGTTTCCGAAATTGCTTCAGTACCATAGACCATATACATACCCTGTGGCAGATTGTACAGAAGACCAAAGAGTACAATCTGCCACTTTGCCTGACGTATGTGGACTATGAGAAAGCCTTTGATTCCGTCGAAATTTGGGCGGTGCTATAGTTCCTTCAGCGGTGCCAAGTTGACTGTCAGTATATTGAAGTGCTGAAGTGTTTGTACAGTAGGGCTACAATGGCTATCCGAGTACAGAACCGGAGTTCGAAACCTATCCAACTGCAGAGAGGTGTAAGACAGGGTGATGTTATATCCCCGAAACTTTTCACCGCTGCGTTGAAAGACGTTTTCAAGCTAATGGACTGGAAAGGATACGGTATTAACATCAATGGCGAGTACATCACTCACCTTCGATTTGCCGACGATATAGTCCTTATAGCAGAATTGCTGGAGGACCTTAGCACTATGCTCAATGACCTCAATGGTGTTTCCCAACGGATAGGTCTTAAGATAAACATGGACAAAACAAAGATCATGTTCAATGTCCATGTCACACTTATGCCGATAGTTGTTGGGAGCACTATGCTCGAAGTTGTTGACGAGTATATTTACCTGGGACAAATAGTCCGACTAGGTAAGTCCAACTTCGACCGAGAGTTCAATCGACGGATTCAACTTGGTTGGGCAGCGTTCGGGAAATTACGACACATCTTCTCGTCAGGTATACCTCAATCTCTGAAAACTAAAGTGTACAACCAGTGCGTGTTGCCAGTGATGACTTACGTATCTGAGACGTGGTCCTTCACTGCTGGCCGTATGAGGACGCTCAAGGTCGCTCAGCAAGCTATGGAGAGGGCTATGCTCAGAGTTTCTCTGCATGATAGACTCAGAAATGAGGTTATCCGCAGTAAAACCAGAGTGACCGACATAGCCCAACGGATTAGTAAGCTGAAGTGGCAATGGGCCGGCCATATAGCTCGAAGAACCGATAACCGATGGGGAAGAAAGGTTCTCGAGTGGCAGCCTCGTACCAGTAGGCGTTGTGTAGGGCGACCCCCACTAGATGGAGTGACGACCTGGTAAGATATGCAGGAAGTCGATGGATGCAGGTGGCTCAGGACCGTGCTTTGTGGCATTACTTGGGGGAGGCCTATGTTCAGCAGTGGACTTGTGAAGGGCTGTAATGATGATGATGATGATGATGAATTTGTTATAAGCTATGGATTTATGATTGGACCTGTGAGACTTTAATAAATTGAGCACTACACATTGTGATAGTGAAAAGACATAAGCCAACGCCGAAATTCAATGTTGAGCTATTGTGCCTCTGAACTATCATGGGAAACTAGCTTCAGTACAGATATATTATTCTGCACAAATGAGTACATACCTCAAAGACACACTCGCCTTAACCAAACCATGACCAATATGTTAACATTGCAAGCTTCTTTTATTTTTCATTGAAGAGCTGTATGGTGCCTAATAGTGTTTCTTGATTAAGTTGCTAACTAGACTAAAACCAAAAATTTGTGTCTTTATACAGATTTTGACTCCAGTTGCGATTTGAACTCAAGATCCACAGCATAATAGTCACCCATTCTTACTACTAGGCAATGCAGCTGTCTAAGCTAATCCTATAATGGGCAGTATATAGTAAACCATTAATTAGCAGCCATTTGTCTTTTATTGTTGACCTAAAATTTTGAAATTATTTAAAAAAAACAGATCCATAATGCAATAGAGCAATGCAGCAGATTAATTGCTCCATAACCTTATTAGAAATTAAAATAGACCTGTTCTCAGCTGTAGGATGTAAATAGGCTATAACTTTAACTTTACATCACATCTTTACAGGTGATAACTGGAAACCTTAGAGGTCATATGAAGATATGGGATCTCCGGTCTCCAAATAACAAACCAGCCGCATCGTTTCTACTCGCAGGTGATGAATTAGCAGCCACATGTATTATTCATCATCCCACACAACCCCATTATATCTTAGCTGGCAGTGAATCTGGGTCCTTGGCTGTGTGGGACTTACGAATTAACTCCTTCCCTGCATCTTTGCTGAAAGCACATGCAGCTGGTGTAACAGAGATGCAATTCCACCCTGAAAATCCAAACAAACTCCTCACAAGTTCAATTTCTGGGGAACTATGGGATTGGAACATGGAAGCGATGACAAAAAGCACTAAGACCTCTGAGAACTGGATGCCACTTGAAGATAAAAACACAATGTCAGTTAACTCACTAATGCCACCCCTACATAAACCCATAAATACAATTAATTGTAATAAAGGAAGAATTCTTTGTGGTGCAGATAATGAAGCCATATACTTGATTAAAAATTTTAAGTATTAATTTATTTTGTTATAAGATTTAATATGAAATTTTGTTATAAGAAACAAACCTTTTCAAACCATTTCTATGTTCGAAAAATAAACTAAAAAGTCAAAAGTAGAAATAATAAAGCCGAAACGTAAATGTAACTTGTTTTATTGGTCAAACCTGTCAAATCTGGGCCTTATAGTTGTAGGTCATATTCCAGCCTGAAGTGTAGTCTTACTCCATTAATTATCTTTAACTTTGTGTGAAATTGGAAATTCTATCCATCTTATTAAATTTTGGTTTTAAAGGCACCAATAAAATTGTTAGTTGCAATTATAAGTACCAATTTACCATGTTAGTACTCAGCAGTGAAGGAAAACATGAGAAAATCCGGATGTCTGGAAAATTAAAATTCCTCAGACATGCAGGTTTCCTCACTAGCACACATTAGGGCAGTATATTCGTGGTAACACAATGTCACATTGATGCAGCCTTTATACCGTAGCAGTAAGGGCGGTTTTTAGAAGAAAAAAAGGGGATTCTCGATTTGACTGTATGTTTCACGATATCATATAAATTAATTCATAAATATTATATATATGCATAAAAGTAGGTAGATATTATAAGATTATTACTAAAACAAAAGTTCCTATACATTCTGCCTTATCGAGGCGTGCAAATTTTGACTAAATAGATATAACAAATTGTTTTTTTTTCAATTATTGGTGTATTTAACTTATTAACCCTTTATAAGGCAGAAGCATTCAGGACAGTAAAGTAAATATTTATATTAAATTTGGCATCTTTTATATAACTACTTATCATAACTTAACACGAAAATTAGGAAAAGTTATCGGAAAATTGTGGAAAATTGGTGGTAAATATATTCCCCCTACCCGTCACTGTAGTGAAAACTAGACACTGGAAAAATTCTTAGATTCCTGTCTCTCCCAATTGTAATAAATTCTTGTATATTAAATTATTATAGTTATATTGTAAAACTGTGGAAGGAAAATAAAAAACTATTTCATTAATTATTAACATGATATTGACGGAAACAAGGGACAATACATAATGGAACTGTGCATTTTTCGCAGATAATTTTACTTCGTTTATATTCCTTTGTGCTGCAGTATTTACAGCGTCTATACGAATCAATGGCTACAGGCATATGTAGACTAACATTTTGAAATCTTATTTCAGGTGCCACTTTATTGGTGGCCTTTTGATAATTATCAGAGCCCAGTACTCTATTAGTGACGTAATTTGGAGCAGATCTTCGCCTTTTTCTACTGTGCGCTCCAATGAGCCCTCGCGCCAGTGCCACTCGGAACTCCAGATTAGTTACTTGTTTTCTTGCCCTCGAAGAAATTGAAACAGAGTAAAGCACGAAAGCATTTGTGATAGCTGCATCTAACAAAAAGTAAAAAATCCGGAGCCACCAGCGTTTGCTCCTTCTACCGACAGAGTATGAGGCTTTCATTCGATCGAATCGGTCTACACCACCCATTCTCTGAGTATATTCTTTTATTGCTCTTGGACATTTGACTGATAAAGTGGTGCCATCTTTTTGAGTTCTGCTAACTGCAGTCGTTCCCATTTTAGGGTGAAATGCTGTGCTCAATACTAACACTTCTTTTGTGTCCTGCCGAACTAAGAAAGCAACGTCCTTATTAGTTCTCCATTTGAATTGGCCTTTCTGTAATTTCAACTTCTTCTTTTCTTTTATTATTGCAGGCAATTCAACTCTGTTTCGACGGACTGTTGCGGTACAAAATAAACCGTTTTCATGTAAATACTGGAGCAGGGAAGTGTCTGAAAAATAATTATCAAATGCGACATGTTTGATAAATTCTTCTTGCATTAGTTTGCGTGTCAATCTTTTTACCACGTCAGCCGCCTAAGCCTTTTTCTACCCCCTCTGCTGTCTTGCCCGTGTATATCTCAAACTCGTATAAATATCCGGTTTGACTGTCATTACGGCACCAAACTTTGTAACCACGTTTTATTGGTTTGAGTGGCATGTATTGTTTCAAAGAAGATCTCCCTTTGAATTTTATCATACTTTCGTCAATACTTTGCGACGAAGAATTCTTCGCGTTTTCTAGAAATGAATTATTGAGCATGGTAATTAGAGGACGCAACTTGTACAGTTTATCATGGCCTGCGGTTCCTTTTTTTAGGTTCTAGGGAATTGTCATTCAGATGTAGCACTTGCAGTATTTTTTTGAATCGTTTTATTGGCACGACATTGGCCACTTCATCGATTCTAAACCCTGGATCACTAGACCAATATAAATTTATGTGAGGTAAAATAATATACCCAATGGTAATCAAAATGCCAAGAAATGCTTTAATTTCGGGTTTAGTAACCGGCTCCCAATGCAGTAGTTTATTTTGTTCAGCGTAGAGATTTGTCTGTGCAACAATAAGATCATACACATATTCATTGAAAAATTTCTCAAAGTGTGCCAAAGGACGAGCTCTGCTGTTCAATAAATACACAGGCACTGTTTTGACACGGTCAAATTCTTCTGGTTCAGGTCGACTGACCCATAAACTTTTACACCAATTTCCATTTTCGTCTGGTTCAGATTCATCTGAATCTTCTTCTAACTCTTCAAGTATACTAATCTCAGCTTCAGATTCATCTCTCTGTGAATTATGAAAAGTCTCAATAGAGACATTCGAACTCGTATCAGGCATATTTTGATTTTCTTGGCTTTGGGAATCATCTTCTAAAAGATTTTGCAAAGTTTCCAAATTCAACTCTGGTTCTCCTTCCGATTCTAAGTCGTCTTCCGAGTTACTATCATCAGGAATATCAAACATTTCTTCTAAAAATCCTTCAATATCCTTATCCTTCAAAAAAATCCTCGACATTGTGACAAAATACCCTGAAAGAACAAAAAACATTTTATTCGTGCATTATCAAAACTCAGTAACGGTGCTGGGTACAGGGAATATACTTCCCACCAAGAAAAACCGTTAGTGAGCAAAAAATATAAATACAATTTCATAAATATTAGCAAATACATTAAGAATAATATATTTCGAAACACACAATTTTTACTTACCCCTTAACAATAAGCAAAAAGTGGGATTTCTACAGATGCGAATTTCTATAACCTAAAAAACGTTCTCTAGACAAGCAGCCATAGATAAATAAATATGTAGGCAAGCTACAAGCAGCTGATAATTAACGCCGTGACACCCTGTCTGTCAATTTTTTTTCTTCGGATAGGTTGACAATAGAGATGAAGCGTATATACTAGAACAGATCCAGGGACTAAGTATTACCTTATTAACGAGACTAGGTTGCACCTATTCCAACTTTTAAAATACTTGATCCATCTAGTCTCACTGTGCCTACTACTACTACTGTAGTTACTAGGCGCTCAACTCGGGTCGTCTTTGCCTAAATCATTAGTTTGTCAGTCATTTGAATTTGAACCAAATTTTAATGAACATAAAGGTAACGTGACGCGCACTCGTGTTTGTTGTGTAATAATATATTCTGTCCTTTTTTAACTAGACTATTCCGTAGTCTTTCTATCTTTGTCTGTCAATACTCGAGACTCGACACTAGTCGGGACTCGGATTAGTTCAACCAAATACTAGTACGAGACTAGTCGGGACTCGGACTAGTTCAACCAAATACTTATACAGAGTACAAGGCAGGCGAGTGTCTATTGTCTAATACGGTACGGACTCATGCGAATGTGATCTCGGTGGACGCTGTTTTCATGTTTCCATGACTACATAACATAGTATTGGAAGCGTAAACAATTTACGTTTCGATCATTATGTAATATATTTTGATGAATATACATTAAATAATTAATATAAGTAAATGTGTCATGCATGCTTTTAGAAGTATAAAAATGCGTTCATTTACCCACATTTAATAATCTATATATATTTTATAATCGTTCGTAAGGAGTGAACTTCAGTCGTGCGCCAGAACTGACAAACTCACTTTTTACTTTTCAGAACAATTCTTTTTTTTAATGTTATTTATAAGAATTATGCAAACAATATTCTAAACAAATATTATAATTAGGCTCGTTACTATTAAGATTATATGAGAGATAAATGAAAATAATCCACTTTAAATTCTCCCTTCCGTCATTAGTATGAGCTGCATCAACCAATTATAGAATTATAGCAATAGTAAAAAAAAAACATAGCAGCTTAAAATCAAGACATACAAAATCAATAGGTGAGTACTCCCATTCTAGAGTTTTTCAAATAAATCAAAGATAAACATCTTTTAAAACAAATTTTACAAAATATGAAGTACTACTAAGTAGCATTTGAAGTAATTGGAAGTAAATGATCTTAATTTATTTCTCATATAACCTTAATTCTCGTAATTTAGTTACGAGAATAATTATAATAATTTTGTAAAGTATGAAGGGAAGATGTATGAATTCATTATTGCACACGTTTCAGCAGTACGCACGTAAAATATGGTACTTGAAACTATAGCGTATCCTATTCCTATTCCAACTATACTAAACTTTATGTGTACTTGATACTTTATGGACTAGGTGGAACAGGTTTGGATCGAGTATTACGGAATTGGACTAGGTGCACCCAGTACGAAATTTACCTAGTACGACTCATCTCTAGTTGACAATACATTTTAGTATTGCTAGAAGAAAAGAAATTTCTCTACTAAAAACGAATTTGGGAGAAATAGTAGAAAACGCTGGTGGTAAATATAAATATTCCCTTTGCCTTAAAAAGGGATGTAATATAAAAATGTCCAATTGATAAATGTCAAAAGATTATACTATATAAAAACAATGTCACTGAGTCGTTTACAAATGTCAAAATATAAATGTTCATATGTACAAACAGTAAAAATAACTAACTAATAATTATTCTATAACTATCGAAGTCCTTTATAAACTCACAGAAAAAAATTTAAGCATTTTTAGATAGATATATTTAAATATGTTATTTGTTTTGATTTTGTGATCAAGATACTCATTAATAGTATAGAAACAATTAAGTAAAAGCCATTCATGAAGTTTGTTTTTTAACTTAGTCATTGGGAAATTTTTAAACGTCGGGTAAAGACTTAAAGATTTTAATCGCAATTATGAATTTTTTTTGGAAGAGCATCAATTTACATTTTGGAAAGTGTATCCCATCAAAAACATAAATATGAAATGAGAGCCAAGTCAAGCCAAAGCAGGTTCTGCACGACAACAAGCTTCGGGTCCCGCGCCTCCGTCACAGTGACCGAGTGAAGTCGGCCACAGTCGAGCGTGTGCCTGCTATACTACCATACGTCAGAGGTGTCACAGACAAGATTGGCTACATCTTGAAGCGAGCTTCTATTAGAACATTCTACAAGCCGCCGAAGAAGATTAGTCAGTTCTTACCATCCGTCAAGTGTCATATTCCTCTACAAGATGCAGGAGTGTACAAGCTTGATTTTGATTGTGGTCTCTCATATATAGGGCAAACAAAGAGATCAATTAGAACCCGCGTAAAAGAACACATAGCTGATGTGAAGCATCAACGTTCCGGGAAGTCTGCAGTTTGCGATCATATTCTAGATGGCCCCAACCATTACATCAGATTTGATAGACCACAAATCCTCGCGAAAGAACATCGATTCCTACCAAGGATGATACGTGAGGCTATTGAAATTAAAAAACATCCTAATTTCAATAGAGAAGGAGGCTGGGTACTACCACCTGCTTGGGATCCTATAATTAATAAAATTAAAACTAAACCCAATCATACCACTGCAAGACTTCAAAATATAGTTAGTTCATTCTGCGTAGATCGGACCAAAGACAATAATTAAAAAGCTGAAGGTACTCCGGGTTAACTTTGATATTGGGACGTCAGTCACCTCAGTCCCCCGTGACCATGGGTGCTGGAAAGCACCCGAAACGTCGGGTATTAAAATTACTATAAATAAAACGCGATAAAATCCGTAAAAGTAGTTTTAATCAATGTATAGTGTTCTGTTCGCGTAAATATAAGAAATCATTATGAGAGCGAAGTTCAATATTATGATATAAGCCTTGGTTGTTGACTTCAACGACAAAAGAAGTGAGATCTAAATGGGTGCCAAGTTCTGACCATTGAACCCTGAAATTTATTTATAACAACATAAAATATCGTTTCTTCTTATAACTTAGGGTAATATATTGTAGCTTAAGGTCTGACTTGGCTAGTTCTCATAAATGAATTATCAAGTTCGATGGCAAGTTTCTACCAGCAAACCAAATTTTCGGAATAATAAAATAAGAACCGACAAGTAACAGGTTTAGAACTTGCGAAGGCTATAATATTAAATTTTTCCATAAATTTATGAAGCCTCTTAAGTATTGCTTTTTCAAAAACTTGATAAACTGGGTACTATTGTAACAGGTCTGTAATTATTAATATCTTTAGTATCGCCCTTTTTGAAGATGGGTTTTAAAACTGAATACTTGAGATCTGCAGGAAAAATTCCTTGGGTAAAAGATAAGTTTTTTTTTTTATATCAATTGCATACTCTGTATAATGTTAAATGGAAGAGTGGAGTCACCTAACACAAGCATCTCCTTGCTTAAAAGGTGTTCTCCAGATCATGTATGTTAAAACATTGTGTAATTGAAATAAACATTTTTAATTTTTTTTTATTAAGTTTATGATTTGACTAAGTATTGGTGCTATATTTAAAGAACTTAGTTTTAATATTTTTGTCGGTAACTCATCATACCCCACCGAATTAGTGTCTCGAAGAGATTATATAATTTGATTAATTTCATCAGGAGTCGTGGGTCGTAAGAATATCGTAGAGTTACAGGATTGTTTACACATACAATTATTCGACATATTTAGTATGTAGCACGCCAAGCTTTTTAGAGGCCAATTTGGCCTTCTCTTCCAAGTGACTACGAAACTGCATGTCACTCGATATGTCGACGCCGAGTATTCCGATAGTGGCTGAGGCAACAAGGGGAGTACCTTGAAACTGAGGAGATACGACAAAGGGGTTCTTTTTATCGGTTAACGCGCAAACTTCTGTCTTCTGAGGATTAAACTGGACTAGATTTAGTCGCCCCCAATCTGAGACTTTATTCAGCAAAGACTCGACTTCAGACACAAGTTTGTCCCGATACTCGGAGACGTTTTCCCGAGAAATATCGGTACGGCCAGTGTACAGAGCATCACTAGTACTGTCATCTGCATAGCATTATATCATTGATATCCAGAAGAAACAGCGTTGGCGATAGCACGCAGCCTTGTGGTACACCAGCATTAATAGGCTTGTAATCGGAGCTTGCACCGTCTACAACAACCTTGGTGCTCCGATCTGCAAGAAAGCTGGTGATCGAATTGCACAATTTCTCGGGAAGCCCAAAGGAAGGGAGCTTCGAAAGAAGCGCTTTGTGCCAAACCCGATCGAAGGCCTTCGCAATGTCCAAACTAACGGCCAATGGGGAGGCTTGGACTCTCTACTGCCTCCGCCCATCTGAGTTAGGTAGACCAGAAGATCACCAGCTGATCGACCACGGCGAAAACCATATTGGCGATCACTAATCAGCTGGTGATCCTCAGGGTACCTCATGAGCTGGCAGTTTAGAATGGACTCCATTGTTTTGGACAACAAGGAGGTGATGGCGATAGGCCTGTAGTTGGACGGGTGTGAGCGGTCGCCTTTTTTAGGGATCGGGTGGACGAAAGCCGTCTTCCATGATTTTGGGACTACGCCTAGGAAGTAGGAGTACCGAAAAAGACGCGTTAAAACCGGTGCCAACTCTGGAGCACACGTCCTCAGCATAATTGGGGGCATTCTGTCAGGCCCACTCGACTTGTGGATGTCCAGGGAGAGGAGTGCTTTGCGAACCGAGCGCTGTGTGAACTGC